TTTGTGGCTGTGGCTGTGGCATCTTGGGAATGACAAGAGAAGGTACCCTATAAGGCTCCCTAACTCTGGGCCTTTCCCAGGGGAGTGGAACATTCCTGCCCCAGTTACGTGGGTTCTGGAATGAAGTGAAATGATTTTCAGATACCAGGCCTCTTGGAGCTTAGGTGAGACCTGGCTCACTGAAATTTTTAGAGAGTCTTGATTTTTCAGAAAAAAAAAAAATGCCAAAGCAGAATTACAGAAGCTGAGGTTAGTGACAGCCTCTTGACGGGCTGCTTCTAGCCTGTGCTTGTGCTGAGTCTCCTCATTGACACACGATGGCAGAAGTCTGGATTGTATACAAGCCCCCTTGTAGCCCCCTCTGTCCTCATGCTGCCAGGCGCATGCAGAGAGCTTGGCTTCTGTGGTCCTAGTTGGTACCTCACATGCAAAACGTGACATTTATCCCCGTGTCCCTCCATCTTGGCTCTGAGCATTGCAGTGAGTGGAGGGCTCATCCCTGTTTCCTGAAGAAAGAAGTCGGGTCTGTCCTGGGTAGGTGACCCTTGCCTGTCATCCAGGGGTAAGGCCGAGCAGGAAACCAGCACCCTGACTCCAGGCTTGGCATTGGGGTAAGGGGTCAGTTTCCTCACCACGCTGCTGCAGAGAGAGGGTAGGCGTCACCCCTAAGTCATGGTCTCGGAGGGCGATTCTTGGTTGGGTTCCCTCCCTCTTCCACTACCCCCAGCAAACGGAAGTGATTGGGTTAACTCAAGCTGTGAAGTGAGCTGGCGATTCGGGTGCTAATTAAAATGACAGGAAGTAAACAGCTTCCAAAATACCCAGCATGTGCCCCCTAAGCCCACTAGGCCTGCGCACTTCATCGCTCCCCCAGCTTGGTGCAGTGGGCCTGTCTCCATGGCAACTGAGCTGAGCTGCAGAGATCAAAGCAGGAGATGGGTTAGCTCCAAACCTGCAAAACCAGGGGCGTATGAAGGGATTTCTGGAAAGAGCCTGGAGTAGAGAGTCCCCACCTCCCCCAAATCTGCCCCCTCCAATGCCAGTCCTCCCGTCCTGGCCTCCAGACTCGTTGAAGTCTGTTGACACCGTAGGAGAAACTACATAAGGCCTGGGATTGGACTTCCTGGTTCTACCCGTCCTAGGCCTTTATCTGTTCACATTTATGGTGTGCTGTTTAGGGATATGGGATTTGGGACCAGTATTCTGTCATGCAATTGCTGTGAGATCCTTCGTAAGTCACTTAACCTCACTGAACTTCTTCAGTTCTGTCACTTGAGAAACCGAGATAGCAACAGTAAGTTTCTCTTAGGGTTTCCATGAAGAATAAACAAGGCAGCGAGTAGAAAGTCGTTAGCATAATGCTTCCCCAGTGGTACTCGATGTGAAGACATTAGCTATTGTTACGAGCGCTATTACCGTGTACTGGGTGCCGGGCAGGGAATGTTGAACTTTAATATGGTGTCTCCCCTTAAGGAATTGGTTGTGTAAATAAGTCAGGGAAGCAGAAACAGTGACCCTGCTGGGTGTCACCGAAGCAACACTTGATTCTCCCAGGTAGGATAAGACAAAGATGGGGGAGATGGTGCTGAGGCTGGGTTGCGGCAGACAGCTAGCTGGTCCGGGATCAGACGTAAACACATGTGCCAAGTGGGAGAGGCAGCTGTGCAAAGCCATGGTCTGCGGAGAGATCCCTGGGTGGATGCTGGGCTAGGTGGCCAGACACGGACGAAAAGATGAACCTTCTGGAGGCTCACAAAACCCTGCCAAGTGAGGATGGATGAAGCAGAGCCATAGGGCATCCTTTTTTCCATGAAGACCCAGGTGCTCTCATCCAATCATTTCTCACAGCCTCTAATAAGCCCACTTAGGTACCATAAATAGATGCACTGCGGGAAGGGTGTAAATTCCCAGTGAACCATCATCACCTTCATCAGCTTGTCGATGGTGCTGGCCACCCCCATCTGACCTCAGATGTTTCCCTAGTCCTACCTACCCCAGAATGACCATTCCCATGCTGCCTGCAAGATGCCTTTGTCACCTCTCCCTGTGACCCCTATGGGGAGCGATTCTTCTCCCATCCCCACTGAACTCGGTTCTCCAGCAATGCCTCCTCTCTCCTCGGCTTTCGAGGGCCCTCATCTTTCAGCTCTGTGTTCACCCAAATCTGAGTTTCTTTTTGATGCGAGGGCTGTTCCTCTGAGAGAGGCCAGGAGTGTGCCTCGGGCACTTGCAAGGGAAAGCTGAGGCCCCGGGTAACTGCAGGGCCTCCTGTTCACCTCTCCCTGATTGCTTGCTTCTACCCTCGCAGGAGTGAGGGGCTGAGATGCAAGGGGTCCAGCCTCCCCAGCTATGCATGGCAGCGGGGGCTACAGGACTTAGCTGGATTCTGGAATGTCACCCCTATCCAGAAGGGTCTCCTCTGTCCCTCTCTGTCCTCCTCTGTCAGCATGGAGGCTACCCTCTCCTTGGGGTGGGGCATGGCATTGGTGGTTCTTAAAAGCCCTCCCCACCATCACTTGAGTTTCTAATCAGACCTTCTTGACCTTAAGCTTTAAAAAGTCACTTTGTACAGAGGCCCAAGGATTCTACCTATTGCCTAGCTGTAGTGGGTTTCAGCGGAAGAGTATGAACGGGCTCCAAAGCCTTCAGCGGGTGTCCCCGAGTGGGAGGCTCATAGGATAACATAGATCACCTCAGGCTCTGCCCACTCCAGCGTTGGAGTGGGTGGTGGTTGAGAGCCTAGATCTTGACGGTCAAGGACAGCCTGCTCACACCTGCTTCCCAAATCCCAGACAATCACAGCATCCTCTGCGTTTGAAACAGGATATCAGTATGTAGCCAGGCTACCCTTGAACTGGATAGCCTCCTGCCTCAGTTCCTGACTGCTGGAATTATAGATGTGAGACACCATGCCTCCCTTCTCCCACATCACAACGAGATCCCCACTCTCTTCCCAGGACAGAATGGGAGCGATAGGAGACACCCCCTGAAAGAGGCTGGTTCCTACTTCTGCCTCGGGCCTGGTCATCCTGGCTGGCCTCAGTTACTTGGCCATTCTCAAGCCATTTCCCATCTTTAATAAAGGAGAACTCTGGTAGAGGACCCCTGCCCCCGCGATGCTGTTGGAAAAAGGCTAGAACTGAATGAATTGTCCTCCTTTGGCCCCAGCCAAAGGCCAGGTGGGGAGTGGGGGGTGGCATTTGTCCTGTGGCCTCCAGAGCAAGCCCTAAGCGGTGGGCTCTGCTGACCCTTCTCCTGGCTGACCCTGAGCCAAGACACTTAACTGATCAGGCATGTTATGGGGTCCTGGGTGAGGAGAGCTAAGGGGTAGCGGAGAGGCCAGATGGGAGAGACACAGAGATCTAGAGAGGTAGGCAGAGGCATTCTAAGAGCCAGACCCTTCCTCCCAGGGAGCCTGTTCCTCTCGGGCCCCTCTTGCCTCTCCCACCCATCTCTTAATACCTTCCCTATCTACGGAAGAGGCAGGAAGGCTGTGCTGAGTGTGAAAACTGGAGGCTGTTCTCAGAAGTGGGGTCTGCTACTTCATTTCTGGTATGGGCCATCTGGCACTGGAGGAGGATGGCCTTACATGCCCCATGTTTGTGTGCTGCACATCTGTATGCTTATGTACAAAGCCATACAAGTGAGGAGGATGCATGTGTACACATGACTGCACACAACACACACACACACACACACACACACACACACACCCTGCCCCTAGGCATACACATACACATCTAGGTAGGACTGAATGAATGGCCCATTTATTTTGACCGTCGCCTGCTTGGCTCTGCCTTGGGAACCTTTATCCCTGCTGTCCTGTTGTCTGCCAGTTTCCAGAGGAGGCTTCCAAAGCCCTCATGGATATCTCTTCATTGTGTGCTCTTGTCATTCCCTCTGGGGTCCCTCTGATATCAGAGCCCCATGCTCTCTTCTGGCCATAACAGCTACACACCAGGCCCATGTCACCCCTATATTCGCACATCTCCAACAGAGGCATGGCAAAGATAAAGATAGGTTGCAGGTGGCTATGTGTGGTTTCTCACCAGTGTGCCAGGCAAAGGAGGCTCTCAACACTAATATCCTCCAGGGCCCAGAAGCTGCTCCTACCTGCCTGGCAGAGTTTCTTCCAGATACCCTGGAAGCAGTTTCATGGCTTTCAACAAGTGTCTCTACCCCAAAGGGCAGGGAGGACGCTAAGGGAGATGCACGGGAAGCTTTCTGCCGCTGACTGGGTGGGGGTCTTCAGGTCATGGGCTAGAATAATATTGGAAGGTCTCCAAGGGCTTCCGGTCTCAGGGACCCTGTGATGTAGTGGGAAGAGAGGGCTATCCTGGGCAACCTCTGGTTAAGTGAAGGTGTGATCTGAATCAGCTAATTGCCAGTCTCTGAATGTCCTTGTTCCTTCTGCCCAGGAAGGGCCGACTCACGCGACCTGGAAGGACTTTTTAGGGTCCCTGGTCCCTGATAATCAGGGAAGCCATCACCACCGGTGCTGTTGCCCCCTTCCCAGTGTGCACCATCTGGGTTCTGCCAGCTTTCCTACAGCTTGGAAGAGAGGCCTCTTCCTCACACCTCCCTCACAGGGTGGGCAGGTGGCAACAGGGTGCCTGCCAAAGAAGGGGCTGTGGGGAGAAACTGGGTAATGTCTCCCAGACACCCAGGGCAGAGGCACGAGCAACAGCATTCCCAGGCAACACAGCCCCCTTAGACATCTGCCTTGATGGCAGGACCAGGGTTGGGCTGGGGTTGCGGCACCCTTTCAAAACCACGGGCCTGACCATACAGCTTCCGTAGTGCAAGTTTTCTGGGGTGAAGATATGGGAGTACTGGCCTCCAAATGATGTTGCTGGGGGATTGGGCCTAGAGACACAACCAAAAGAGGCCAGGGATGTCTTGGGGCTCACGGCCTGAGGGTGGGCCTCACAGTGAAGTCCCTCCTTTCTCTCTCTTTCCCCTGCTCATTTCCTGTGGATTCCATGGCATCCTGTCTTCAGGAAGTAGAAGTGAGTATAATCCAGGCCTCACCCCAACTCTTTTCTCTTACCCTGCCAGCTCCCATGTGGGGAGGAGAGAGGGGTGGGAGAGACTGGAAGGGGTTCTAGGGTGTCGAGTGTGGGGAAGCTCTGGGTGGTGTCTGGGTGGGTAAGTGGAGTTTCCATGTGGAAATAGTGGCCCAGGCCTCTCTCATCCTGGTCCCTGTAGTTGAGCCTTAGCCCTGAGATGTGATCGGGCCTTTCCTTTCTCCCCATCCCTCTATCCCTCCCTAGGATGACTACATCAAGAGCTGGGAGGACAATCAGCAAGGAGATGAAGGTAGCATGTCCTTCCCATCTGTGTGTGGGAGGAGTCTGACACCCATGGGAACAGAAGCGCTGTGACTCTGCCTTGGGTTTCTTCAAACAGCCAGGCACCTGGGGCACAGAACTCGAAGTCCTGAACTCTGGTTACCGAGGGCTGCTGAAGAGAGGGACCTCTGGGGTCTGCAGTGGGGCTGGGAATCCTGGGTTCTCCTGGGTGGTCAGTGTCCCGACCTTGTATCCCCACAGCCCTGGACACCACCAAGGACCCCTGCCAGAAGGTAAAATGCAGTCGCCACAAGGTGTGTATTGCCCAAGGCTACCAGCGAGCCATGTGCATCAGCCGCAAGAAACTGGAGCACAGGTAAGTGACCCGAGCCAGGAGCCCGCCTCCTGACATAGTAGGCAGCTACTGTTGGAAAACACCATTTAGTGGCTCAGAACAAGATCACATGATCGGGTTGTTTCTCAGGGTCAGGACTTCCACCCAGGATTGGTTCTATTGGTTTGGTTAGTTCTGGTTCAGGGTCTGTGGTCAAAGATAATGACAGTTCCCTCTGAGGCCTTGATGGTCACCAGCGAGCAGGGGGCAATGTGGGCAGGAAGACACGGTCTCTGCGAGAAGATGAAAGAACCCGGGAGGAAACAGATTCCCACCCTGAGTCTTTGGTTTTGTTTTGGTGTCAAGGGACAGAGGAGAGAGGGAGGATATTTGCAAAAGTTTGAACTTCGGAGTTCCATGGCAATGCAGGAAAAGCTGGGGCTGGAGTGTCCCCCTCCCTCTTGTCTCCTGGCTACTGTTGGGAGGTGGGAGTTCATAGTCACTGGGAAACCCATAGGAAGGTTTGGCTGCCTTCAGCCTCACCTTAGGGCAACTGGTTTTTCATAAATGAATTGAAATGGGGAGGAGGGAAAGAGAGAGAGGAAAAAGAGAGAGAGAAAGAAAGAATGAGAGGAAGAGAGAGCCACATCTCACCAAACACAGGACCTAGGGAGTCACAGCTCCTCCCTGACCCAGGTGTCCTGTGTCTAAGACAAAGTAGACCAGACAACCCGAAATCCCCTGTTTGGACACATGGGGATTTCACGACATATTGAAGACTAGTTTCTGAGGTCTATGGGGGAGACGTTGAGGGACCTTTTGGGGGGCTATACCAATTCTCCCATTTTGCAAATGTTAATGAGAAACACAACAGTAACCATCTGGTGGCTAGACAAAATGACAGGATGGGCCAGATGCCGCCCATGACCTCCGCTTGTTGCTCCCTCTTGCAATCGGACCTCTCTCTGCTCCCCGAAAAAGGCCAAGCTAGAGTCCATGTTCTACCCAGTTGGTCCATTCTTAGGAGCTGCCTCTGATGGAGGGGGGATGGGAGAAGTTGGGCAGGGTGGGCGAGTGATCTCCTGTAGGCCACAGGGCTGGGGTCTTGTCAGGAAGGGTCTCGTGCACCTTCTGCCAGCTCTCTCCTCTCTCCCTCTCTCCCCACATCTTCCCCATCCGTTCTCACAGGATCAAACAGCCGGCTCTGAAACTCCACGGAAACAAAGACTCCACCTGCAAGCCCTGTCACATGGCCCAGCTCGCGTCTGTCTGTGGCTCTGATGGCCACACCTACAGTTCAGTGGTGAGGAGCCTTGGTCATGCGTGAGGTGGAGGTGGGATGTCCCCAGTGCCACAGGGAACAGAAGGACCACTGACTGACCTCCCGAGGAGTTCCGAGGATTGCGATAGGGCTGGGTCAGTGTATTCAGGGCAGCCCTTCAGTCCTGGCCACGGTGATCTGACTTTGGGCAGCTGGAAGGCAGGGAAGAGTCATGAAGGGATATTCGAGCAGGTAACGCATGTGGAGTAAGCCACTGGACAGACCAAGGGAGCTCATAGGGTCGGTTTTGCAGGGAGAAAGGACTTCCATGCTGAGGTCTTGATGCTCACCAGCCAGCAGGGGGCAATGTGGGCAGGGCATAGTCTCTACCAGAAGGCATAGGGAAGAACCTTGGGAGCAAACAGAGAATTTTGAGAATTTTTGGAATTTTGAGAAGATAGATGAGAAGATATTTGTGAAGGCACTTTTACAAACTTAAAAGTTCCAGGGAAGCACAGGCGCTAGCTAGTAATGTTTCTAAAAGTGAGAAGCTAGGGCTGCTTAGCTGGAGTTGACTTGAGGAGATCCCCTTCCCCTCTTTTTCCTTTTTATACTCCCCCCACTGTGTGTGTGTGTGTGTGTGTGTGTGTGTGTGTGTGTGTGCATGCTCAAGTTGATCTTGGGATTCCTTTTCGTTGGTTCTCAGTCATTGGGTTAGGGTTTCTCAGTTAAACGGAAGTCCCGTGACTGCTAGTCTTGTTAGCCCGATCGTCCCGGGGGAATTCCCTGTTTCTGCCTTCTGAGGCTGGACTTACAGATGGGCTTCCATGCCTACCTGGTATTTACGTGATTTCTGGGGATCTAAACTCAGGCCCCCATGCTTATGTGACAAACGCTTTAACCCTATCCTCTACCCAGGCCTGGGGAGAGCCTTTGGGTTGGCATAGGGTGTAGAGGTAGAGTTCCTTGCTGTGGTCACAGGGTGGGGTGCGGAAGGGCGAGGAGAGAGAATAGGTGCAAGACTGCGTGTAGGAGCCATGGAGCTCACAAAGAAGCTAGAAGGAGACAGGAGAGAGGGGTTGGGAAGAGAACGGGAAGGAGAAAAAAGAGGGGGGGGGGTAGCTGGGGATGCGGAAGAAGCAGTATCCCACGTGAGAGATCAAGGTGTTTTGTGGGCAGGAAGCTGCCAGAAAGGGTCTAGGAGGTCTGGCTTCCACCAAAAGCTCATGGCCCTGGGCACAGCCCTGAGCCTCCCTTGGCCTTGCACAAAGCACAAAACCCACGGTCCTTCCTTCCAGAGTGATAGGAACCCTCAGGGCCCCTGGCTGCAGTACCCATAGTTGAGTCCCAGCTGCAGGACCCATAGCTGAGCCCCCGTCTCCTAGCCTGAGCTCTCTTGTGCAGTGTAAACTGGAACAGCAGGCATGCCTGAGCAGCAAGCAGCTGGCAGTGAAATGTGAGGGGCCCTGTCCCTGCCCCACGGAGCAGGCTACTACGTCTACCACTGACGGCAAGTCAGGTAATCAGGGTGGATGGCCATGGCCAGGCCCAGGGATTTGCAGATTGGGAAGGAACAATTGGTCACAACAGGGAAAGGCGTTGGAGCCTGTGGGGTTTGGGGTCCTGGTAACATAGAGCAAGACCCTGGGGCTTTGTCCCTTTTCTCTCCTCAGGGTCTTGGGGAAGTGGGAGAGGAGTCTGGGTAGACTTTGAATGGGAGGGAGGGGAAGAGCAAGTGGTAAGGGGAGGGGGATGGGAGATGGGAGGAGAGGAAGCCCCCCCCCTTCTCCTGCTCCCCTGAACATTGCCCAGCCTCCAGGGCTGCTGCTCTTCACCCTGTCCCTCCTTGAATCCTTTGCTCTGTTCCGCACCGCAGAGACCTGCACAGGGCAGGACCTGGCCGACCTCGGGGATCGACTCCGTGACTGGTTCCAGCTCCTTCGTGAGAACTCCAAGCAGAATGGCTCAGCCAGCAGTGCAGCCAGCCCCGCAGGTGGCATGGGGGACCAATGCTCTGTCTGGGGTGGGGTGGGGTCAGGGAGACAGGAAGGGAGAAGGGTCCCCGCAGACAGGTGTGTACAGGTGTGCCCCTTCACGTCAGATCCTGAGCCTATGAACCCCCAAAGAGCTTCACCTGGGAGAAGGGAGGTTGGCTTCAGCCATGATAAGATGTGAGTGCAGGAGTTTAGTTCCTCCAGTGGGGTAGCCAAGGGAAAGGGAAGATTTTTCTGGAGCTACTGAGCATGGTTGCAGCCCTGGATTTAATCCCCAGTACTAAAGAAATGTATTCTGACAGACTTGTAAAATGGGCTTACATGGTTCAGGTATAGTTCGATGTAGGGGTAGAGGCAAAGGCTGGTTCTTTATTTTCTGTACCCCAAGGTTAGGTTTCAGGTTAACCCGAGTCTGAACAGAGGTCTGGGGCTGAGAAAGATATAGCAAGATGGATGGACAGGCAGCAGAGCATACCTGAACTCCAGTCTCCTCCCCAGGGCTGGACAAGAACCTGGGGGCCAGCTGCAAGGACTCCATCGGTTGGATGTTCTCCAAGCTGGACACCAGTGGAGACCTCTTCTTGGACCAGACAGAACTGGCTGCCATCAACCTGGACAAATACGAGGTCTGCATCCGCCCCTTCTTCAACTCCTGTGATACCTACAAAGATGGCCGTGTCTCGACCGCCGAGTGGTGCTTCTGCTTCTGGAGGGAGAGTGAGTCCGGCCCTGCGGTCCTCTGGCACTGACTTCTTTTTTGGGGGGGTGTTGAGCCCCAGATCCAGCCTCTCTTTGGCAGTCATAATAGTTGCCTCTTAGTCACATGCTTAGGCCCAGAGCCTTCCCAGTCCACCTCCTTGCTGTATCTATCTGGGCTTCTCTCATCAATTAGAACCCAGGGCAGCTGACACTTAGCTCGCTCCCTGGGCAGGCTCCTGGGTGGACTGGATTTTGTGGGTCCTGAAGCTTGTGCACTTTTGGATACCTTTAAATAAGAGCATGAAAAGAAAAATGAATGTGGGGGCTAAGGGCTGGTTCAGTGGGTAAAGCGTTTGCTCTGTTGACCGAGCTCCAGCCCCAGAACGTACATAAAGGTAGGAGGAAGGAATTATCTGCACAGGGTTGTCTTCTCACCGTCACACGTGTGATGCGGTGTGTACATGCCTGCCCTCTCAAATATACGATCCCCCACACACATATACACATGCTTCACACACACGTGATAAACACACTTATGAATGTGAAGCCCTTGGAGAATCTGAGAGGGGAGGTTGCAAGTGAGGGTCTCAGAACTGAAGACACATTAGCTTTTCCATGATTCCCTTTCTGATGGACACATCTTCTTTGCCCCAAACAAATGATTATGTAAGCAAGCTACTGATTGTGTGAAGACATGCTTTTTTTTTTTTTTGAGATGGAATTTTATACACCCCAGGCCGTTCTGGAATTCACCATGTATCTGAAACCAACCTTTCCTGTAGTCCCCAGTGCTGGGATTTCAGGCACACACCACCACACCCTGCTTTGGCTTTTATTTGTGTTTCTTTATCTTTTTTTGACCACAGTGTATCATATAGTCCAAGCTGGCTTAGAAATCACTCTATATCCCAGGCTGGCCTTGAACTTGGCGTCCTCTTGTTTGCCTTAGCCTCTTGACTGCTAGGACTACAGGGCCTACCATCATACCTGCTGCGTGACATTTGTTAGCGGTGGATGCTCAGAGCCAGAGCCAGAGGTGTGTTTAGAAATCACCTAGGCCAAGAGGCAAATGATAGAAAAACTGGTCTCAAAGGGTCAGGTTTGCTGCCTGGCCAGCCGCTGGAGGAAGCCCAGTGCTTGCTTCCCTGATGATTGCTGTATGAGAAGCACCTGCCACCAAAGGTCGAGGCTTGGCTAGGGCTCCATCATGTGCTACTTTGGGGTCCCAAATAAATGACCACTTCTTTGTGAGTTCACTTCCTGCATCTGCTCTGGGAGATAACCATATCTAACTCAGAGGCTGTGGCAAGCACACACTGAGGAAGTCAGGGTGCACAGCGCTGTGGGAGTCACGCATCCCTCGGTGATGCGAGGCCCCAAGAGCAGTTTTTCTGTCTTCAGTGCGCTGACCAGCCTCCCTGCTGCCTGTGCTGCTGCAGCACATCCCCTCCCAGGCTCTTGATGTTCAACCCATTCCTTCCGTATGTGTGGAAGGGCTGATCCACAGGCGACAGAAGGAGACCATGAGCCACACTGAGCATAGCTTGAGCACATAAGACCTCAAAGTCCACCTCCACGGTGACACACTTCCTCCAACAAGGCCACACCTACTCCAACGAGGCCACACCTCCTAATAGTGCCGCTCCCTATGGACCAACCATTCAAAGACATGAGTCTGTGGGGGCCATTCCTATTCAAACCACCATAGGATTTTTGGCTTGGGTTTTGGTTTTTTTGAGACAAGGTTTCACTATCTGGCCTTAGCTGTCCTGGACCTATCTATGTAGACCAGGCTGGCCTCAAACTCATAGAGATCTACCTGCCTCTGCCTCTAGAGTGTTGTGATTAAAGCATGTACCACCACATCAAACTTTCTTCTGAAATTTTTTTTTAAACTCATCCTATGAGTGCCCTAGAGAAAGAACCCTGGGATTCTTAGGATCGTTAGCTTGTCTTAAGCTACAGTGGCCTCCCTGATAGACACTGGGAGTTTTCACCCAGTGGAACCCTACACTGGCTTGAGGATCTTAATGGGATCCCTACATACCACGACCACCCTGGTGTGGTCCGATAAAACCCGAGAGTCCAGGTGTTTTATTTTGCAGAGCCCCCACAAAGACTTCTAAGTTTAGGGGTGCTTTCAGCACCATGAGTCAACCCTAAGGCTGCTTCTCTCTACAGAGCCCCCCTGCCTGGCAGAACTGGAGCGCACACAGATCCAGGAAGCAGCCAAGAAGAAGCCAGGTGAGGAGGGGGGCAGAGGAGGAGGCCAGGGGTGCTTCCCTGAGCTCCCTTTGAGGCCCAGAGATTCCAGCTGCCCTTTATGGCATCCTATGAACCTATAGGAAGACCAGGCCTAGGACCATACAGGAAAGCACCCTTCTGGGTCTCATGGTCTTGGAAGGCAAGAGTCTCCTCAACCGCACCTCAGGGAGTGTCAGTAGTACTGGAAGAAGCAAGCCCCCGTGTCTGATTTCTTGGCGTTGGGGTGTCAGTACCAGGCTGGCCAGGTTCGGTTCTCTGGGCCCCTGCTCACACACAAGACCCCTCAGGGTTCCTGTTCTAACACTCAGGTGTCTTCATCCCGAGCTGTGATGAAGACGGCTATTACCGGAAGATGCAGTGTGACCAGGGCAGTGGTGACTGTTGGTGCGTGGACCAGCTAGGCTTGGAGCTGACCGGCACACGCATGCATGGGAACCCTGACTGTGGTAAGAGCCGGTGGCGCTGGAAGCCCCCTGAGAACCTGCTCCTGGGGGTTTGTGGACATGAGGGCAGGACCCTGAGCTGAGAGAAGAGATACAGTGGGCTCTTTACCAACCTTCCGCTTGTTCCCCCAACAGATGACATCGTGGGTTTCTCAGGGGACTTTGGAAGCGGCGTTGGCTGGGAGGATGAGGAGGAAAAGGAGACAGAAGAGGCAGGAGAGGAGGCCGAGGAGGAGGAGGGTGAGGCCGGTGAGGCAGATGATGGAGGGTACATCTGGTAGATGGCCCTCAAGGGCCTCGGCAGGCCAGGGTGCCGACGGCCGGAGAGATGGGCCAGAAGAGACCTGGAAGACAGCAGGCAACTTAGCAAATGGATCCGGAAGTCAGCGTGAAGGACCCTGGCTCCAGCGGGGAGAACTGGAGTGGAGAGTGAGGCATGTGTGACTGGTGTGTGTGTATGTGTGTATGTTTGTGCATGCGTGTGCATGTATGCTGTGTGGGTGTGTCCTGTGCTGACATGTGTCCTTGATCCATGCTGCTCCAGGCAGTGAGTCACCCAAAGGCCCCTTCCTTCCTGTAGTTCCTTTTCTTTTCCTTTGCTGTTGATTTTTAAACGCACACGTCCACACACATGTCCACAGTAATGGGCCAAAAGCAATGGAATGAGACACCCCGATTCTGTCCCTCAGCCCAACTCCTGGTATTCCTCCCTGCTTAGTTAGCGCTACCTCCCCCTGCCCCTTCCTGCCTTTCTTCCTCCATCTTCTAGGGTCAAAGAGAGGAAGGGAGGGAAGCTGTAGGCTGGGCACCCTCCCCAAATCAGGCTGATTTGGTGCGAAAGCCCGGCCATCTTCTGGTGACAATAGGCAGGACGCCACACACAGCAAGGCGGACCCGTCTGATATCTGAAGGTCTAGCTGCAGGTATGTCCAACCATGGTCCTTGGACTGCCTCTGGTTAAGGATAGTTATCAATGTGGCCCAACCTGTAAACTTACTTAATAAGACATAACTTCTTTGTTGTTCTTGTTTGTTTGGTTTGGTTTGGTTTTCTTGGTAACTCGACCGAGGAGTTCTTGAGTGTCAGCTTTGTAGATGATAATGGTCAGTATCCAAAGGCTGAATACACCTAGTAGATCATCTCCCAGGAAGCCACAGATAGCCCAGGAGAACAGGCAGGGGCAGTGAGGAAGGGAGGGGAGGAGCCTCTATGCTGACCTCAGATTAACCCAGTCAGCACCTGTTGCCTCATGGGGACCTTGGATGCTTTCTTGACAAACGGGGGCTGTCATCTTGTAGCCGAGCTTGGACGCGGCCTGCTCTGAGGTCTTTCTGCTGCTGCCTCTGTCCCCTGGATAGGGCTCCCCTTGTCTAAGGAGTAGAGGACCAGAAAGCAGCATATGTGTGCCCACCTTCTCCTTGACCCTCGAAGGAAATGGTCCCTTCTTGCCCAGACCAATAGAAAGGCATGTCCCTGAGACCCTATGTGAGGAAGTAGTGTACCCTGAGATAGCCCTGGAGGAGAGGCGTCGAAGCCACTGTCCTCTCAACCATGGGTCTCCTCTGTCTCAAGTGTCCCCAAGACAACCAAGACACCCTAGCAGAGCTACACTATTTAAAGCCCTTCAGTATATATGAGTAGAGGGGACACATTGGGCAGCTAGGCTCTGAGGCCATACCTCACCATGTCCCCAAACCTCTAGGCCCAAGGGAGGTCCTCTTACCCAGATGCCCTATGGGGTTCTTCTGCATGTTTATCGTTTCCCATTTCTCCCTTTCAGTGGAAATTTCTTAATATATATTGATGAACAATTTCTTACCTGTTCTTGGGCCTCTGATACCTTTTGGTACATGCGCATGTGTGTGTGTGTGTGAGCGTGTGTGTGTGTGTGCGTGTGAGCGTGTGTGTGTGCGTGTGCGAGCGTGTGTGTGTGTGTGTGTGTGTGTGTGTGTGTGAGAGAGAGAGAGAGAGAGAGAGAGAGAGAGAGAGAGAGAGAGAGCACCTGGGGGCCACTCTGATGGCTAAGGAGGAGGCTACCTGTGTGCTGGGGTGCTGGGAGGCTGGGCAGCTCCTGGTGCTCTTGTGCTGAGGCTTGTAGGACAAGGCCCCAGTCTGGTTCTCCCCAGCATCCTGGGGCACTGGCTGGATGCATTCATTGAGTGTTGGTTGGACTCTAGGGAAGAGCCTCCTCCTCCTCCTTCCCATCCCTTTCTGCCACCCTTGGAACGGCCATCTTCTTTGTCATCCCCTGGGAGAAATACAGAAATGCCACTAAGCTCCGTAAAGTGCTTTTCTTTCCACAACACAGTTCTGACTCTCCCGGTGTCCCCTGATCCCATTCCCCGCTTTCTCTTCCTGCCCTTCCTCAGGCCTCTGCCACCTTCCTCTGGTCCCTGGCTCAGTCACATCAGCCCTCTGCATTCCAGAAGCAGCCTCTGCTCTTCCTTCTTCTCCTCCTCTTCCTCCTTCTCCTCCTCCCCATCCTCCTCCTACACCCCACCTCTCCTCCTCCTCTGGCTGGAGTTACTTGAAACTTCCCGCTCTCGCTAGGCTGGAGTCTGATTTCTTCCTCTGCCCCAGCTGGATTTCCAGAATGTCCCTGGGTTGCTGTGAAGGAGTTTAGGCTCTCTGGGACGGATATGGGATTACAGAGGAAGAAGCATCCTCTACTTCCATTCTGCCCCCTCCTTCGGGGTGGGGGGAGGGCTTGCTGTGCTCTGTGTATCCCTGGGTCTTCTGGTTGTGTATCTGACTTTGTAAATATGTTCAGAAAAAAGCAGAAGGGGGGTTGAACTCGCCTGTGGCAGGCTTGCAGGGGTCCTGAAGCTTGTCCTTCTCCAGTGCCCCCACTACTGCTTTTCACCCCATTGAGACGGAGCCCCACAAAGGTAGGCATAGCAGCTGTTCCTGATGGGGCTGATGATTCCCAGGTAGCTTCTGGTTAAGCAAGCTTCAGGTTTCCTCAGGAACAAGGTCACAAGTTAGGTGACTGTCAGTCCTGTGACCTCGTCATTGCCTGAGTTGTCTGCCCCTCCTGGTTCGGTCCCTGCTCTCACTCCCTTGGTGCAGGCAGGGGAGTTAGGGGTACGTTGACAAGAGTTCAACCAAATTATTGTAGAGCCACATCTTGCAGGGACCCTGAAACTGCCCTACTGGGAGCCTCCTGGGTCCCTGGCTGGTGGGAAGGATGGTTCGGGGTGGGGCAGGTTGGGGTCGGAGGGAATAAACGTGCCTTGAGAGACCACTCAGAGGTCCCAGGAGTAATGGGGGTGAAGCTTAGCCTGGGGAGCTCTGCAAGGGAGAATGTTGGTGAGAGAGATGTGGGACATCTTGACGTCCCCCCAGTGTCCCACAGGGGTTGTGACCTCACGTGATGGGTGGGCACAGGTCCTTCCTTCCTCCAGTCCCCACCCCTGCTTTGGGTCGGCACCTTTTTGACCTGTCTTGAACTCTGCTTCCGGCTTCACCGCTGAGTAGGTGGGCAGTGTCTTTTGGTATCACCTCACCAGAAGCCTGAGCCCACAGCCCTTGGAGAAAACCAGGGGCCCATCTTTGACACCTGGGTCATATTGGGCCTCCTGGCCTGCCGTTGTCCCAGAGGAGGACCAGGGATTGCAAAAGGAGATTCAAAAAATCCCCAACAAGTCCCAGGCAGAGCATCCCGCTTCACAGCCCGCGTCCTACTTAAACTGTCTCATGTGCAATAACTGAGCTTAGAGTTAAAAATTGTGGTCCAGTGCTTGGGTTCTGTCTGTAGATTTAAGTGCTGACATTGTATCTCTCAGTAATTTTAGATGTCTTTAAAAAAAAAATTGAACAAGTGTTAGACCTGTGTGTGCGTTGATGGGCACTCAAGCGTCCTGTGGGTGACCCCACTCTCTCCCCTTCTTCTGCGCCACATCCCCTCATGCCCCGCCCATACCCACCTGCCTCCACCTGGGGCTCCTCACCTTACCGTGGTCTTTATCTGCCTATTACTCAGCCTAGGGAAACAAGTTCACTCTACACATGCATAAAGGAAAGCAAATGTTATTTTTAAGAAAACGGAAAATAAAAACTTTATAAACACCACCGGCCTAGAGATCTCTGGTTATTTTCTGCCTCTTAGTATTTTCATAAAGCTGACCTCTGCAAATGAGACCCCGTGGCCCAGACTGCCTCAGACGGCTCTTTGTTCTCACTGTTACAAGTGAGACTTCAGAGAGGCCAGGGCCCAGTTCATCTGCAGAGGGCCAGGCTCTTCTTTGAAATGCTTAGCATTATTGCAAAGAATGCTGCCCATCCAAATTAGCCTCTCTCTAAGTAAGCACGCCCCTGTGTCTTAGCTAAAAAGCAGAGATAAAATTGTATGTGTGTGTATGAACACATTATGGACTTCTCCTGTGGTTTTTCCTTTAATTTAAAAAAGTTACATTTATTTGAGGCATGTGTGTATGTGTACGCATGTGCACACAGGTGCAGTGCACGTGACCCATGCATGTGTGAAGTTTCAGAGGAGAGCTTGAGGGAGCTGGTTCTGTCCTACCAGCAAGTGTGGGTCCTGAGGATCATTCTGGTTTTCAGGCTTGGTGAAAAGAGCTTTTTGCACCCACTGAATCATGTCTGCCAGCCCCAGTCCATGTTTTTTAAAAAAATTTCTATTAAGGGTCTGGGAGATGACTCAGTGGATAAAATAAGACAATCCAAGTTTGATCCCTGAGACCCATTATGGTGGAAGGAGACACTTGACACTTGACTCTTGCTAGCTGTCTTCCGACCGACACACACACACACACACACACACACACACACACACACGTTGTGGCACACGTGACACCCTCACCCCCATACACACAAAAGAAAAACATAAAAAAGTTAAATGGCTTAATAGGTCCATAATATTTCCCATTATGGATCTACTCTGATGATTTAATACTGTCCCTATTTTTGGACACTGGTATTATTTCCGCTCTGCTAATACAAACAGTATTGTGATGGGACCCATCTTGGGTTATTTTGGGGCCCATCTTGGGTTATTTCCCTAGCCCAGAGTCCCAGAAATGGAATGGCCATGTGACAGGTGGTAGCTTTATTTTGTTTTCTTTGTTTTAATACAGTCTGATCTAGAACTACGTATGTCAAGCTGGCCTTGAACTCATGGCAAACTCATGGCCCACAAGTGCTGAGAACATAGGGATCAACACATTCAGTTTGTTTTCTAAAACACATACTATGAAAGTTGCCGTATAACCCTTACACTGCTTCCAAACACCACCGCAATCTAGCTCATAGCTGTAAGCTGGGGATGGAACCCAGGACGGTGCATGAGCTGAGCATGGGGTCCCCGTGAACTTCAGGCACCCCGAAACTCCATCACACTAAACAGTGCTTTTAGGAAGGTTGAGCTGTCAGGTGCAGCCCGGTCAGCAGGCTATGCCGTATGGGGGCCCCTTGTGTCGACCAGCACTGATTTCACAGGTCTCGTCCGGTTGGCAAAATAGGCCTGCGTTATTTTCATTTCTCACCAGATCTGGGGACTGTTCAGCTGTGTCCCTTCTGCTCACAGGCCTCACTGCTGTGGTTCCGTTAGGAGTGCCCTGAGGGTCCAGATGCTGAAGGCTTATTCCTCAGCCCGTGGTGGTCCAGAGGTGACAGAGCTTTTAGGGGATGGAGCCTAGGGGGAATCGGCAGGTCATCTGGGGGGACTTGGAGGGACTTCTGGGACATTGGCCTTTTCCTCTCTCTCTTTGCTTCTGGGTCAAGTGAGCAGCCTGCTCCATCACGGGCTCCTTCTATAATGGTTATTCCTCTCTTGAGACAACATACACCTGACAAAGCAACACCAGACAAAAGGCTTTACAGTGGCCTGTGGTTCAAGGACACAGTCCATCACTGTGGGATAGGCACGGTGGCAGGGGCGTGAGCCACGTGCACCCCAAGACAGAAAGCAGAGAAAGATAAATGGGGGTGTCCTACTCAGTCCCTCTCCGTACCGCTTTTCTTTTTATAAATTTGGTCCAAGACCCCCAGTCCATGGGCCAGCGCAGCCCATACTCAGTAGGAGTCTTCCCGCCTTAGTTAAACCTATCTGGAAACCTTCACAGATGAACCCAGAGGTGTGTCTCCTAGGCATTCCAAATCCAGTCAAGGTGACAGCGAGATGAACCTCCATACCCTGACCACAGCTCCCAGGAAATGAGTCCAAGTGACCTTGGACTAAAACCTCTGAAGCCACTTCAGAGGATCCTTTCGGTTAAGCTACTTCAGCTAAACAGCATCTTCCCTGCCCCCCCCCCCTACACACATCTTCCCTTTAACCAGCCTTTTGTGGCATAAGAGTGGGCTGCGGAGGCCAGACCCCGTCTGGGGACTGCAACTCTAGCCAGAAGACCAGCTAACTGTGACCTCAGATAACTCTCTGTGCAGGGAAAGGACCAGGGGAAGTGTGAGCATTGGAAGGCAGCCTTGCCAATATGCCCCGTCACAGGCCATGCCCCAGCGGCAACTCTGCATCCCTTGCCCTATGGTTGGAACAGGGAATCCTTAGGAAGAGGTGTAAGGGGCCCTGCGGGTACTTAGTTCCTCACTCTGTCTCACCGCCACCCTGAAGGCCAGCCTTGGAGCCTTTCTGGAAGGAAGTGTGAGGATGGATATGTTGGGGGGGGGGGACTGTGCTCCCAGCAAGAAGGAGGAAGTGGGTGGAGATGGGAGTGAGGACCCTAGAAGGGCTTCCCTGCCTGGGCTTGTGGGAGCCTGCAGGTTCAAAACTGAAGGAGCCGTGAGGGATGGAAATTTGAGCCTCTCACGAACCCAGGCCTTAGAGCTGGCTTGCTGAATGGTATCTTTGGGTCAGTTCCAAGGAGGCCGCACAGAGGATGATGCCCCAGTTCATCTGGGGAGTCCTCTAAGCGAGCACTCCAACTCTCAGGTAAAGTTGGAATTTTGCCCTTCACGGATCAACATCTGTTCTGGAAGAATTCATCCTTTGTCACTGCATCTCAGCAGCCTGGATTCCCAGTGTCGCTTGGGCTAGCAGCAAACGGAGCGTTGCTGGGGACAGACCCAGGCCAATTGGCAGCAATGGCTGAAGCCATCCAGACTTACAGGGTGCCCACTGGTCCCTGGCTTCCCTGGACATATCCCTGAATTCAACCAGCCTCTTATCCCTCCTTCTGCTAGCATCTTCTCGCTGGTGTTCAGACTTCTGGGGACCGAATAAAATATATATTGACTTCGTTCAGGTTTCAAGGGAAGGAAGGGGGTGCAGGTGGGGGTGCGGGGGCAGGGGCAGATGAGAACAAACCTAAAAGAAAAAGACCCGAATGTGCATAAAAACAGACTATGCAGGTCACCTTCCCACCACTTGCCTCCCCAATGCTGTGTCCATGTCTGACCCCACACATGTTTCAGGGTGCTGAGAGATGGAGAGCACTTGACTGGACCCAAACAAAAGCCCTATCACACACATATATGTCTGCCTTAGGGATTTTATTGCTGTTAAGAGCCATCCTGGCCATGGCAACGCTTATAAAGAATTGGGGTGGCTTGCTTCAAGTTCAGAAGTTTAGTTCATTATCATCATGACGGAGAGCATAGTGGCATGCAGGCAGAGGTGGTGCTGGAGCTGAGAGTTCTATCTTGACCAGAAGGCAGCAGGAAGTTGACTGACTGTCACTCTGAGTGAAGCTTGAGAAAGGAGACCTCAAAGCCCGCCCCCACAGTGACACACTTCCTCCAAGAAGACCACACCTCCTTACAGTGCCGCTGCCTTTTGGGGGCCCTTTTCTTTCAAACCACCACAATGTTTAACGAACATGTGAAATTACTGAATTGTTGGTATTCACAGTGGGCTGTTAGTACATACACACAGTGTGCAGCAGGCAAATCAGGGCACCGCTGTGTCTATCACCACAGATATTGATCCCTTCTTATGTTAGCAACACTCAAAATCCTCTCTGAAGGGCTTCAGAAGACAGGTTTTAGTTCAAGGGCACTGGGTCGGATCACTGGGAAGTCAGGCATTTATTGGCGCGGTCAGAGAAAAAGACAGAAAAAGCATGGTAGAAGCTCTGAGGAGAATCTTGGCTCTAAAACCAGAGACGGACAACATGGCAGGCACCCCGAAGAGAGGAAACTGGGGCCCACACAGTAGATGTGGCGCCTCTTCTGTAATGATGGGGGATGGTTCACAGCACAAGCCCACAGGCTCACTGGAGGAAGGAGGCAGGGAAGCTGGTGAGGAGCAGAATGTATGGCTACCAATACGCCCTCTGTTGCAAACTGACTCCACCCCC